AGCTAACCACTGAGCCACCTTAGCTACAAACATGCACAGCAAAATGAGCGAGGAACAGGAGAGCAACACAGAAAAGACAGATAAGAAAACAAATGCATGGAAATATTTTGGGATATATATTTTAGGATATTTACTGAGTCCCTTGATGGCATCTCTGCTAGCTGTATATCTGACCTTCTAATCCTGCAGTGCACACTTTGAGATCTTAAGGCAGATTTCTTTTGTCTCTTCCAGGTGTGTGGCTGAAAGCTTGTTTTACGATCCAGGTTTAGCTGCTAAGTATACTTTTAAATATGAGTATTAATGTGGTAACACCGTGATCAGCTCCTCATCTAATAAATGTCAACATGTGTTTGTGCTCCAAGTCGGTGACAGGTTGGCCAAGTGCACTCCAGACTTACAGCCACCGTTACATAACCAGGCTGACAGTGGTAAGTCGGCCATAAGGCTACAACGTGGAAGAAATGTCAACAGGATGTCTCCTGTTTGCTCTGCGTGAAGCTAAAGGACAGACTCGACACAATCGACACAGCAAAAATGTAGAAACACCTGAAGAGAAACAGGAGCTCCTCAGCTTCTCTCCTGCTCTCTGTGCCCACATGTTCTACATTTCAACACAAAATCTCAACAAAGCTGTTCTCATTTACAGAATCATCTGCTGTCGGACAACAGAACAGATATGAAATAGTGTCTAAATGTGATTCTATACCAACCCACCGTCACCTTTAACCTGCTGCTCTGCTGATATACTGATTTTATGATCTGACTCTGTTGACAGAAATTAAAAACAACTGCTGTGTTGTGAATTCTGCCACATGTTTTAATAGAAGTTTAAACAATCAGAGAACAGTTATGTAATAAAGGGTGGAGGAGTTGCTTTGTGAAATAACCTCCTGCCCTTTGCTCCACACGCAGATTAAACTTTATCACTTATCAGGGCTGTAATAGAAGAATTTCCTTTAGAGTAGCACCTCTGACCTCTTTTTAAAATGGATTTCACCAGGATAGAGTCTCTGTTGCATCTCCTGTTGTACTGAATCCCACAGTGACATGAAATCAGCCACAGATCAGGAAACCAGTGGCAGAAACAAACACAGATATGAATTCAGCCCATTCATTCAGTGCTTGGACTAAACAGAACTAAAACACACAGCGTTCTCCGCTGCTTTGACTGAGATGTCACATAATAAGTCTTGAGGGAGTCCTGGAGGGTCAAACCGTTCCTCTGCAGCTCCTCTAAATGTCCTAAATGAGCCCATAAAGCGAGCGGCTAACCAGCTAGCTGACAGGCTAACAGCCAGCTTCGTCTTTAGAGGACAACCGGAACTCAGTGAAACCGAGCCGCCACCTCGTCAAAAAGATGCTCCTGAAAGCCGCAACGGTTCGGAAACCCACCGAACACTGTTCTCATCACGATAGGCTGAGTGTTAACCAACAAAATCCGCCACTTGTCTTTGTCCTTTCTGCTCGCTACCTCTCGTACCTCCACGATTTTGGAGCACTGGGTCCCTTTGCCGGCGCCAGGCCCGCCCAGCACGAACACAACCTGCGGCTTCATCATCAGCGACACCCGGTAGAGGAAGGACGACACCCTCTGAGACCCGAACAAGCGGCCGAGCATAAACCACCAGCGACGGATGCGAACCGGCGGGCTGTGAGCGTGAAATAACGAGCCGAGCCGCCCGGTGAATGCGTGTCAGTGTCGGTCGATGAGCACAAACGACACCACTTCCGCGATCGAGCCCTTTCGACCAATGGGAGAGCCGACTGGGCCCGTGACGCAGCCGCGTGGCCCCGCCCCCTGCACTTGTTATTTTTTTCAATGCAGAGGTCGGGTGACGCCCCTCCTCCGCCGCCTCTACAGCATCAGCATCTCCAAACCGAACAGGGCGACCCGCCGCTGGAGGAAGGATGCTATCCGGTCCGTTGACGCGCAGCAGCCCGAGGAGACGCACCGACGAGGCGGCCGGTCGACATGGTATCTAGCCGCTGCTTCTCTGCACGTTTCTGCTGCCTCGCTGCCTCCATTCATGATGCACCATTCATGCATCCCCAAGAATGGAAGCACGCTGGGAGGGAAACATTAAAATAGCGCGTTAAAGCTCCGTTGGCTCGCCGTTATAAGACTCTCTCTCTCTTTTTTTTGACGAAGCCTCTTTTCATGTAGGTCAAAGTGATGAAGACCCCGATTTTGCGTTTTGAGGGCGCCGCGCGAACGCAAGGCTAATCCAGGGAAAAGCCAAGCAAACAAAAGGCATCGAGCCCCCCTCCTCTGACGCACCTGGCTGCCCTGTCGCCACTTGACATGACAGCGCAGAGCCGGGAGCAGAGCAGCAGGATCAAGGGGCACCGACGTGCAGCCGGACGTGCGGACTCGACACGGAGCGGAGGAGCCTGCGGACGCTCGGCGGAGAAGCAGCAGCAGCAGCCCAGGGGAGGCCGGATTGCAGTTTCTGGGGACGAGCGCCAAGGGCAGTGCGGCAGTCAGCAGGCAGACCGGGGGGAGGAGGCTGCGGAGATCTGTGATACTTCCCCCCAAGTCAACACCGCGAGCTCACCTCCACTTCATCCTCAGCGCATGGTGGTGGATGCTCTGATGTTTGATCAATGGTGACTGTGCTCCTCCACCATCATTTTTCTCTCCTCTCTTTTTGTTTCTTCCCAACTCCATCACTGATGAATTGAAAGATTAAGATCTGCTCTTCAGGCAAGGGTGGAACCCTGAGGGGGGGACTGATGTGCATACTGGCCAGGTATCATTTGCTCCCTTCTTCTCTGGTTTTGCTCATTTTGCTCGCCGCCTGCACTATGGGCTGTATTCAGAGCATCGCATGCAAGCCCCGCATCAGACGGGAGAACATTGTGGTGTACGAGGTGTCCGCCTCTATTGACCAGTGTCCCACCATCATCGAGGAGAACTCACCGATTGTGCTGCGTTACAAGACGCCTTACTTCAGGGCCTCAGCAGGAGTTGTGATGCCGCCAGTGCCCCGCAATGAGACCTGGGTGGTGGGCTGGATCCAGGCCTGTACCCAGATGGAGTTCTACAACACCTACGGAGACATCGGCATGTAAGTGTACCGGAGAGACCTCCAGACTGTTGCCGTGTCTGTATGTGTCTGTCTCATCCTCTGCGTCCTCCTCCAGGTCCAGCTGGGAGCTACCGGAGCTGAGAGAGGGTCGGGTCAAGGCCATCAGTGACTCGGACGGCGTCAGCTACCCCTGGTACGGCAACACCACCGAGACGGTCACCCTGACCGGACCCACGTCCAAACCGTCCCGTCTGACGGTCAGCATGAACGACAACTTCTACCCCAGCGTGACCTGGGCGGTTCCCATCAGCAACAGCAACACACCCATGCTGACCCACATCACCAGGGACCAGAGCTTCATCACCTGGCTGGTGGCCATGAACTCCGTCACCAAGGTACAGGACCAGAACACAGAGAGGAGTCTGCGTTAATCCGCACCAGTTTCCTCTAAACTGCATCCACACATCACAGACATGTTTTGTCCAGTTGGAAGTGAAAAACACCGGCTGTTTAGAAACTACTCGTGCATTTCCACACAGACTGGCTGTGATGTAATCAGCCCCTCCTGCACTTCTTTTCCTGGTGTAAAGTTACAAAGCAGCTCTTCAGTCCTCCTCAATAAAGCCCCTGCAGTGGGCATCAACAGTCAGTCCAGCGTAAAACGAGCGTCAGAGTGACTGCAGTAGTTGTGTACTGTGTTTGTGGAGGAGCTAGATTCTTGGTAGGATCATGTAGAGAAGCTGTTCAGGCTCGTCTTCAGCGCTGACTGAGAGCAGGAGTGGAGCGTACCTGTAGAAATCCTGAGATAGGAGCAGGAAACCCGCATTAAGATTCTCTAATCAACTGTTCTCCCGTGTCAGCTAAAATGAAAAGATCCCTAATACCATCATTCATTACTGTGCACATTAACCACACGTCTACTTGCAGCAGGACATAATGCACAATCAAATGAGGCTGCAACAAGATGCTTAACGTGCCTAAAATAGACTCACACACAGTATCGACCATGCTAACATCAGGCCTCTCCTCCTGCAGGAGCGCATCGTGCTGCAGACGGTTCGGTGGCGGATGCGGGTGGACATCGCCGTGGACCCGGACATGCCTCTGGGCTCTCGGGCCTCGTTGGTGGGTCGTCCCTACCAGGAGCAGCCGCACATCCTCAACTACCAGGAGCCCATCCCTCCCAACGCGCTGGGGAGGCCCAACGCCAACGACGCCCAAGTGCTCATGTGGAGGCCGAGGAGAGGGGCGCCGCTTGTGGTCATACCGCCTAAATAAAAGGGTCTTAAAGCTGCACAGACGAAAGCATAGCTGTTCTGGATGTATCTGGAAATCCTGTAGCTCCTGAAAGAGTCAAGAGGACTATTACGAGAAGCCAGAGTGGATTTTACGTCTCGGGAGTCTACGACAGACAAGGACCTGGAGTTGCATCGAGGCTTGTTTGACAAGTTTTTGGACCTCCGCAAACGAGTTCTGCCTGCCTTTTTAGCGACGATGGAACTGTTTTTAGTCGTACCGCAGAGGTATTAGACCACAACAAGAACTGCATCCTGCATCCTTATGTAGACCTTATTGCATGAGAGCGAGAGGGAGACGAGAAAAACTGTCCGCGAAGAAGTTTAAGAATAGCATTTGTTTTGTATACCTTGATACCTGAAGACATTTTGATTGAAAAGTCAGCCAAAAAAAAACAACAAAAAAAAAAACAACAACCCTGAGTTAAACCTCGTCAGTGCCAACAAAGGCCTTCAGCACACTCGGTACCAGAATCAAAGGATGTATTCAGATCATTTTAAAAGAGATAAAGTATTATATGAATCTTTTTAGGTTAAGATTAAACTTGATCAGATTGTATTAAGAGCACCCACTTGCCATAAAAGTCTGGAAGATATAAAAAAAAAGAAAAAAAATCTACTATAGTTTTCACTGGAGTTGTTTTTTCTTCTTCTACTGTCAGCCTCTTTAGCTGAAATTGAAAGACGAGCTGGAACTGTTACTACGTTAAATAAATAACGTCAGCCGAGCTTTCAATAAGTGCAGCGCAAATGACTTGGAGCGGCGCCATACAACAGATTTAAAACAAGGAGGCCGATCCCACTCTCGTATATTATAGCTGGAATGGGGCCGCACTACAACCGAGGGTGAATTTGACGGGGCGCTAATCGGGTCGTGTTGCACTTCAAAGTTGCATAAATCTTCCAACAATCAGGGAATCTAAATCCACTCTGTATCTGGTGTGGAAGCGAACCAGCGTCTCCTCCTGTGTGTGTTTGTGGCAGATAAACACGGGGTTTGAGGATCTTCTGGTGGCGTCACGGTCTGTCCGGTGTCTCATCCTGGGATCGGTCCAAGTCCCGGCCTGCCACTCCACACACAAGTCACATGACTCATCCTCCATCTGTGCCTCTCTCCAGGTTCACGCCTCACCTTCCCATATGCCCGCTCTCTGTCTGACCACCTCATCACTGCGAAGCCTCAGATCTTCTCAGAAAATCCACAACTATGCAAATATTATCAGAACTGATCAGGCAGCAACGAGGTGGGGGAAAAACTAGGCTTTATAAGAGTTAGATTTGATGTGCTTTTATTTGTAAGGGTTATTGCTGACTATATTTTTAAGAAAAAGCTTCTTACTACCATTTACACAGAAGTCAAATTAGGTCGGACTAATTTGTCACCTTCAGCTCATTCAGCCATCTGTTGCTATAGAGACTGGTTTGGTGTTTCCTGAGCGCGCTGCAACTGGAAGTGGAAAAAAAAACCACACAGTTCAAAATATTCATGGGTGTGCCTCGCTGCTGCTGTGTGTGTGTGTGTGTGTGTGTGCGTGGCGCTCTCACAATCACACACACTTTGATGTAAGAACAGATCAAGGCAGAGCCGGTGGTTTCAGCATAAAAGATACTTTAATTTATTCATTTGTTCTCACATAAAGACATTTATTTTTGATTTTTTTTTTTGCATTTAAATAACCGTAAAACGAGCGCTTTTGATATAAATACTCAGACTGTGAGCAGCAAGGTCAAAGCAGTCGTATCCCTTTTATCTCATCTGATATAAAAAAGAAAAAAGAAAAAAAAAAGAGGACATTCAGCATCTTTGGACAAGAGGTAACCCCTCCTCTTTGCAGCAAGTTTGCTCCTCATTCCACCACTAGATGGAAGCTCTGTCGAGGATTTTCACATTCAGGCGCTGTGAGAACTCTTAATAATCCCCTTTTTGTTTTCTACTGACACCCCCACACAGTCCCCATTGTCCCAAATCATATAAATACACAAAGTCTGAACTATAAAGTATCATATTTTAAAAATACCTCCCTTTAAATTGCACATACAGTACGTTTAGTCTCACTGCTTCGGTGTGTGTTGAGGTGGCCACTTCGCTCCAAAAACCTCACCAAGCACATGTACGTCACAATATTTACCCCCGTCTGTTGTGCAAAGCCGCATTTCTTTTTCCCCCTCAGAGAAGTGAAGATTCAGCCGTTAGCGGTTCGGCAGTAACGGGTGATGTTCTGTCTGTGTTTCCCCACATCTGTAACATCCACACGCCACACCGGGCCCGTAGAGTCCCGCTCTGTCCAGGCTGGATGGCCGCCGTCTGGCCGCTCACGTGGCGTCTCGCAGGGGTCTCTGGCTACACTTTGACGGCGCTGCTGCTGGCGGGTTTTCGCTCATAGCCGTAAAGAAACGTGGCAGCGATTACCAGCAATGCTCCGAAGAAAAATAACCTGAGAGAGAGAGAGCAGAAAGACTAGGAGATTAAAAAAAGAGGCGTTAAAATGACCTGAATCAATAATCAGATGAGCTCTTAGTTCACTTCTGGAGGTGTTTTCATGTCTAAACCTCATCATGTTCAGCAGGTGTTTACTGTGTTCACCATCTTTGTTGATAACTACCGCCAGACATGCTAAACTTGCTGCTGTTTGATCAGGAAGTGTGACCTAAATGGTGGCGCTGGAAGGAAACGAAGAGTTCATTTGCAGAAACAGAGAACTCCATCTTAACAAACCTTCAGAACTTCTCCATCGTCTACCTGAGACAACATCAGTCAGTTACCTCTGTTGCTGTCATTTCTACTGAGTCACATCCAGTCAGCTTCAGTTTGATCGATATTATCTCAAGCAAACAAGAACAAACAAGTGGAGTTATCTGTTTCTGCAAATGAACTCTTCAAATTAATCACAACAAAACACTGTGACAGTAGTCTAAAAAAAAAAAAAATCAGTCAAGTTTATCTTTAACCTCGTTTTCTGTGTGTTTTGTCTCTTTTTGAGTTTTATTGAAAACATCAGAGTAGGGAGGTGGATGGAGTTCCTAACCACCATGTTGTTGCTATGCTGGACTGTTAATCTGACAACCTATTGGTGTATTGCCATTCTTGCACAGCCAGTATCTTCCTTGATAATCAATCCAACAGTTGCTGACACATTTCAGATTGCTGCAACGAGGCTGCAAAATAGAAAAACACTCAAGCATGCAATGTTTTTCTACTGATAAAGTGTTTGTGAGCGTGTGTGAGCGTGCACATGTTTACCCGGTGGGGTTAAAGTCCTTCAGCAGGAAGTACGAGGTGAGCGTGGACACGATGATTGACAGGGAGGTGGCAAATCCTTTTAGGATGTTGTCTGCGTATTTGATGACCACAGCGACGACCAGCCCGCCCAGAGCCTACAGGCAGAAAGCAGGGTTTAAAAACAGTCACTCAACACAGCAGCAGCCTTACAGGTCAAACTCAGGGCAGAAAAGCCCAAATGTGAGTCTTTTCTAGTTCTCATATTGATGTGCGTAATCGGGTCAGACGTCTATGAGTTCATAACAGCTCCACAAAACGGGGATTTTTCTCTCTGAACTTCCCAAAGATTAGCAAAGAAGGTCAAAACTTGAAAACAGCTTTGCTTATTGTTTTTTCTTCTTTCCTCTAACACTCATTTATCTTCTGTCTCTGTATGTAAACCTGGATAAAAGTAGTTCAAACTTCCAGCAACATGCTGCTGATACACTCTTAATAATTTGATTATGTCAAATATAATAATCTATCAGTCAGAAGGACCAAAACTTCATTTTGCTGCCAGTACTGCAGACTGTACTTCTTTCCATGCAGGACATTTACTTGTAATGAAGCATTTTTTCCATTGCTGTATTTGTAGTTTTATTTTTGCTCTTATCGCTGCCACGTGCACCTCCTGTTAAAATGTTCAGATGAAGGAGGATGAAGGGAAGCCAAACCTGCAAAACAACGACTACGCAGGTGATGGTGCTGTAGCCCTGAAACATCCCCGACTGCCTCACGCTCTGGAAGTCGTACACCATCATTCCCACGAAGCCGAACACGAAGCTGAACAAACCTGAAAGAGAGAGTCGGAGACGATGATGCTTCTCCAGATAATTCAGAAACAACCCGCTGATGATTCAACTGTTCTTGGTGAAGGCGGGAAGGAAAGAGAAAAAAAAGCTGTTTTACTACAACTAACAGCCCCTAGAGGTCACACACACACACACATAGAGGAGAAAATGTAACTCTGTGGTCAGGTTTGACAGAAATCCAGCCAACTCCCACGACCGTAAACCCGCCTGCAGCTCCTCCCTGCTAACAGTCAGTTGCTCGGAGTGTCATCACACCGTCGTAACACACAAACACGCCAAGAAATGCAAGAGATGAACGTGTCTGTGTGTGTGTGTGAGCTTTTAGTCTTCTGCTTCAGCCGTGAAATCACAGAATCTCATTCAGACTAAAGTCCTAAAACTGAGCCTTAAATACATTTTTTTTTTTGCAGTTTCATACAAAGTGACAGACTGCCTTTATTGAGCCGAAACGAGGAGAAAACAACAACATTCTACGTATTAGAAAAGTTCCTGCACTTATCACCTAACAAGGAACGGTTCTGTCATTTGATTCCCTTTCTGAGATGAGAATATTGTTATTACTTTACAGACGACATTCAGAAACGGCCGACTGTGAGCTATTTGCGACATGTAGGGAATGCTCATCTGTTGAACCTGAAAAACTTGTTCCTTTGTTGTTCCGTCTAACTGTGAAACAGTCCTTTAAGGTGACACAACAACAGAGACGCGAGCATCAGAGGCCTTCAGCCAGAGAGAACAAGAGTCGAGCTGCACAAGTGATTATAGTTATTACTGTTAAGATGTCACCATCATGTCTTTACTAAGTGACAGTGGAACAGGACCACTTCATCGTCTTTAATCTATTTAAATCCAATCATATATTATTTCCTGTGTGTGTGGAGATTATCCATATTATTATTCCATTCAGAAGCCTTGCTTTCTATCTTTCCTCACCATTTCTTTTTCACACACAGCGTCAGTCACTAAACTCATCTATGACCTACTTCAACACAAACCAGAGACACTCACCCAGCTGTATGTTACGAACCCACACGCTCTGCTTCGTCTCCTTGAGGATCTTCTCAAAGTAAACTCCGGCGAAACCGCTGGATACGCAGGCCATGAGCACGGCCATCAGACCCACAAACTGGGAGCCGGCAGACAGAACCTTCTCCTCCGAGTCGCCTCCGGACTCCGTGGGCCACTGAGGAGGGAAAAACATAGATGAACACATGCAGAGAGACGGACAGAGTTCTTAAAGTCTGTCCAGACAAAGCAGCGTAGCTCACTGATGAAGTCGTATCGATCCCACACACACGTTAAATAAACGCACAGCTCCAAGCTACAGATTTTATTTATTGATTTGGATCGAGCTTTTAAGTCGCAAACATTCTTTTTAGTGGGTTGAGTTGATATAATAATGTTGGCAGTTGTGTGTGGAGCAGTGAGAGCGCCGAATGACAAAAATAAATCAATAAAAGAATAATAAAATAAAAAATAAATAATGTGGCAATATAAAGTAAATATTAATCAAAATTGAATCCATAAAAGAAAAGGTTTTTCCTGAAAGGTTTTCGGATTGTTAGGGGCTGGATTATCGAGTCATGGCTGTAAAACCATGTTGTAGTAATGAAGACTCGTCACTAACTCATTAATAAAATGTTTCCTGACAAGTCGGGTAACTTTCTCATACATGTCTACACATTCAGAATTGTTTTTAGCAACCAGAGGTGTCGCCCCCTGCTGGCTGTTGGAAAGAATGCAGGTCTAAGCCGCCGTCACGCTGGCTTCACTTTTGCAGCATCTGTCTTTTACACACAGTGTCTTTCTGCTGATACCTGCACCAGAGCGACTCCACCCATTAGCAGGAGCAGCGAGAGCCACTGGTAGAAACCCAACCTCTTCCCCAGCATGGAGACGGAGAAGAGCGCCGTGGTGAGGATCTTCAGCTGGTACGTGACCTGTGTGGAGCACAAACGGACACATAACACGTCTATTACAACCTAAATGTGTACATAAGGCTGGAGGAGCACTAGAGTACTGCACTTGACCTGTAGTGTGTTTGCTTTCCAGGCGATATGAAACATCACAATAAGTTTTATTTTAATCTACCTTTTCCCACCTTGGAGGTCCCTGTGAGTACGATGAATAATACATGTGCTTTATCTCTGTGGCATCAGATTGGTATTGGGAAATGGCCTCAGACGTCTCTAATCCACAAGGTTGTTCATTTTTCGTAGCTGATTTGCTTTTACAAACGTAAAATTAAAACAGCCTAAACATTAAGACAGCTGGGTATCTTCTGCTGCACTAACAGTAAAGGTCCCCTAATTTAAAATAACTCACTAGTTATTTTCTTATTGCTTCCTTAAATGATGGAGCGCTCAAACATCCTGTGCGACGATGAGTGCAGAAGGCCTCAAGTGTGGCAAGACTCAGGCACTTCCAAGCTAAAACTGTAGGTCAAGAACACAGTGATGTTAATGTGGTGGAAAAACGGTGGTTATGCAACTGAAAGGAAAAAACGAGTACGTCCTTGTTTCCTATTTTAAAAAAAGTAAAAGGTTTTGCTGCTTTTCAGTGTTAAAGCCTCATAAATATCAGCGAAAACAGTAAATAACGTTGGAGTCTTTGCCATTTCAGTCCCATTCTTTCTGGGAGGTGTGTTTGCTGAGGCAACCTTTCTGTTTGAGTGTTTGATATTCACAAGACGCAGCAGAGTTTTTTTTTATTAGTGAAAGTGTGGGAAGTGTTTCTAAAAATATTTGCCAGCGATTGTTCTCTGGACCCGGTAAGACGTGTGCCAAACCATTGAGGAACCAGTTCCCTTACACGCAGATGCAGTGACCTGGAACCAGCAGCACATTCATTCATTCACTCACTCATTCATTCATTCGTGTGTAACCTGATACGTGGCTGCGTCCAGGTTGGACAGGGCCACATAGAGCAGATTGTTCTGCAGCGTGTAGATCCCTGCAGGAACGGCCAGCTTCAGGGTCTCGGCGGGTTTGTTCACAATCTCCTCCTTCAGCAGCTGGTTCATCGCCCGCATGTTATAATCTGCCGGAGACAGAGGGAGCGTTGTCAGGGACGGACCACCCGCGGAGCTCATTAGGAAGAACGGGGAGCATTTACAGGGCCGCGGGCAGAGATGTTGGACGCAGTGGCGTGAACTCAACACAAACACTCACTGTTCTCCATCAGGACCAGGATGCTGCAGGTGATGATCTTGAGCACCTCGGCCGACACCACGGCGGAGGAGGCCAGGTATCGGGGGCCGTCCTCCTTCAGGGTTCGGGAGTAGCGCATGGTGAGCACCAGCGAGGTGGTCTGCAGCACCAGCACCCCCAGAGACATGTACTTCAGCCTCGAGGAGTGCGACGAGGGCAAGACCATGGCGGGGGACTCTTTCTCCGAGTCAGCAGACGACGAGGAATCCTTGAAACAAAACGAGAGAGCAAAATCGAGCTGAGCGAGAGAGAGGAGGCATCTACCAATCTCAGGAAGAGTGTCTTTCAACGAGATGCAGAAGCTGAAGGAATAGTGGAACAGTTTGAGGGTGAAGAGTCTGAGAAAAAGGGAGAAAGTGGCTACAGAAGGATCAGGGCTGCAGTCAGAGAGTTGTTCAACAGAAGGCTAACTCGTCCAGCCTGTGGCGCTGCACGCATTCCTGCGACTGGCCTGCAGCACATGGAACACACGTGAACAATAAAAGCAGCATCTGAAACAGCTGACATGCATCTTGTACCCGGCTAGTGTGGAGATCTGTTCCAGGATTCAGGCTGCAAATCCCCACACGGCTTCCCTTCATACAAAGACTACTAGATGTTTTCCTGCATCTCTTATCTCTGGTGCAAATCTTAAACTTCCCTCCTCCCATGCATCTTAGGACGAGGAGAACATGTTCTCAGAGGCAGTAAAGTTCAGCTCTGCTTCAGAATGTGGTGAAGATCTGTCATTAAAGGTGTTTTACAGGCTCCCTGAGTATTTATAGCTGCAGTGGTGCAACCTGTCTGGGAGGAACTCCTCAGTTTGTTCAGGCATTAAAGTGACGTCCTTATGAAATGTCAGCTGTTTGATTTAATTATCCCTTCAGGAATGACTGATGGAAAACGTGTCCACAGATTGTGAGGGATTAAATAAAGAAAGCAACTTCTTTCAAACACAGTTAATCACTAGAGTTAAATCCATCAGTCACAGGGTCATTTTAGTGGCCTTTACCTCAGGAATGATGAATGAAGGACTTCTATGTGTAAGAGGTTGTTTTTGTAGAGGATCAAAGTATTTCTGCCACCACAAACACTCGCTGTGTCACAACACGCCGAAACTTGACCACAGCAATATTCAACAGGTTTAACTTCCTATAGCATTTAATCTATAGCCTCCAGCTAAACTTTAACATAAAAACATGGCGTCTTGTATTTACAAACCACCGCAGACAACCGATTACAGCAATCAGATGATTATTACCAGTCTCACACCGCCGGCATCCTGCAGGTCTGGACATTCTTCTCTTTTTAGTCTCACATTTCCTGACTGAAGCATTTTATCTGTGAGTCGCCACTTCCACTTTTCTCTGTCGCCTCGTCGACGAGGCCCCCAAATTTCAAAATGACATGTGCAGAGAGCTGAACGTTCAGAAGAAAACCGCGCTGAGGTTTGCATCGAGTCACCTCGAGAGTCGCAGAGTTTACTGCAGCCTCCTGCAGGAAATGAGGCAACTTCTCTGGTTTTTCAAAGGTAAAACTGTGGGACTGACTCAGGTGGGTTGTTTTTCACTGTATGGTTGTTAATTAACTCGCCCCTGCCAGTGTATCACCTGTAGGCATCTGTGTACCTGGATCAGACTCGACTTTCAAGTTTAGTTCTTTAGAATACAATCTGCTGAATCGTGTTGCAAAGTGGTCCTCCGACTTCCCCTAACTACTCGGCGTAGGTGAAAAGAAGATGTTTAACAAGCCACGAAGGCCGACGGAGCTGCGACAGAGCAGGAGGTGTGGTGTGTTCAGCACACTGACCTCCTTATGTAAAGGCTCTGCTCAGCACAGGAGCACAATCCCCCTCTGTCCGCCTGCTTCTGCACAACCAGCGAGCTCTCCCGACTCTCTCCAGGAGCATTTCAAGACATTTTTAGTCATCTGCAAGAATCCTGAACATCTTATCTGTTAATCTGCAAATGACTTCCCTCCAGCGTGAGAACAGCAGAAACACAACAAACTGCTCATGATGGTGTCAGACAACGTGGGAGAAAAAGGTCTTAAAAAATGAAGTTGAGTTTGATCTAAAAGGGTACACTCTGAGCATGTAAAGGTTAAACACTGACACCAAAGCCAACATGTGGGTTTCACTTGTCAGAACTTGCGCCATTAAACTTCATTAGCAGGAAATGGAGCTGTTGAGTGAAAATGAAACTCCACTTTATTGATCTTTTATCTGATTTGTAGGAAATGTTTCCAATCGCCTGCGTCCTCGTCAGCTGAGTAAGCTTCAGGTGGGAGGTACTGCACAGGAAAGGACGCCAAGATGCAAATGGAAAAGCAATAAATAGCCCACGATTTGAATTGATAGGTGTTATTAAAAGCAGGTCACGTGAGCACGAGCTGTTCAAAAACACACCAGAGGAGCTGCGATAAGCGAACGGACACAGTTTGGAGATAACAGCACACTTCAGAGATGAAATGTTGCACTTAGAGTATGAAGCCGCCGACAAGAAACAAAAGGAGGCAGGAACTTTCTTTCCACACTCTGATCTTTGATTTAACCTCTAAGAACTCCTCCCTTTTCGTCAAACTTTGATGTTTAGAAGTCTGGTTCCATGCAAATAACCCCTTCGCGCCTTAAAATGTCCGAGACGTAACTCTACACCGGCAGCAGCTCTGGCACACCAGCTCACCTACAACCCCACTGTACAAATCTGTGTTTTCCGATCGGTACAGCTCATCTGTTTCCCTCATGATTTCCAGCATATAAAAACACCACATAGACAAACTAACAAGGCAAAAAAAGAAGAAGAAAGAACTAGTTTTTCACCAGAGGAGGGTCTTGAGGATCTTGTTCCACGTGGCTGATTGGTCTCCTCTGAACACCTACTTGTCGTCTACACCTTTGACAAGCTTCTCCTATTGTGCATGAGCCTTCATTGTACTGCAACTCTAAACCACAGAACCACTCCTCAAAACTCAAACAGTCCTGCCGGTTGTGGAAAAGGTCTGTCTTTGTGTGCAACCCGGACGTCCACTCCCTTCAGGCTCTCAATGGCAGCTGAACTCGATCCACCAGAGACCAGAAAAGAAACCTCAGACCACCTCAACACGCTGCGACCTGCCACGCGCAGGGAAAAAAAAGCTCGACAAAGATGCACAAACCTTCTGCGCCGACATGTTTGAACGTATCCAGCAAATGTCTTCTTCTTCTTCTTGTTTAGGAGCCTCGGTGTGACACAACCTGCTCGGCCGACGGCCGCCAGGCAAATAAACAGGTTGGATACCTCGTAGGTATGGAACAACCGAACCAATGACAGGAAGGGCTGGTCGCATGCGCCAACAGAGGTATGAAATAGCAAAGGAATAATGCTGATGGGTGGTATTATCATGGTATGGGAGGATTTGAGGAATGGAGAAATGTCAAACTGGAAAATCTGCTTCAGCCAGTGAGAATAAAACCGAAGGAGCTGCAAGACAAACTGGAAGTCTGGCTTTCAAAATGCTGCAGAATGACAGAAACACGGCTGAAAGTATGTTTACGAGTGAGAATGATCCTTTATTTACAACAACTCAGATACAGTTAGGGGAATAAACCAATGATCCACAACCGTTCTGAAAGGAAATCTAATAAAATGGGAATAACTGGAAGTCGCTCAAAGTAAAAACACTTTTAAAAGTAGGAACGAGTTTGTCCTGAGCAGATTGATCCACAATTTACTGTTCAGACACTTACATTTCAGATGTGTTTTAAAGTAGTATTTGATTTATGAGATGAGCTTAAGGGAAATCTGAACTGATTATTCATATTTTCAAAAGTGAAATGTGCTTTAAACAGGACGAATCTGAAGAAACCTGCAGAAGTTTTGTTTTAAATGCAGCACGAGTCCATCTGCACGGCCTAAATCTGTAATCCAGGAGTCGAAAACTGTCCTTTTTAGCTCAGCGAAGTCGTTCTCTGATGCTCGGCTGACTCAGCAGAATATTTGTCTAATGAGCAGAATGAATGCAGAAGAAAACTATGACACCGTATTGATTATATTCACTCAATTTCAACCAGTGAGCACAACAAGAGCTGCAGAAAGTGGATTGATTTCCTTACGTTTTGTTGGTTCTCGACAGGCTTTTGATCGGAGACGTCTGCTGGAAGCTATGAAGATTATAAATCGCTGTACAGTCGCTCTGCTGCTTGTAAAAACTTTAACAATATGCAAACACGTGGGTTTGTTACTCCCTCTGGTGTCAAACAACGCTATATTCTTCCTCTACTGTTAGCCCTTGAAGTGAAGAGATTTAATTTACACTTGAACGACTCAGCTCAGGCGTCTTGTTGATGATATCGATCAATCTGGGATTAGCGGGAAGTTCAGACAACACAGACAGGTCGAAGCACAAGGAAAAACTTTAATCAAATCTAGCAGGTTTCACAGGAAGCAGGTCCAGATTTGTAAGAATCTAAACTAAAAGTCAGAGCGAACGTCAAGATCCAGAGGAAGCCAAATATCCAAACGGAAAAAATCTCAAAAATCCAAGACGCAAAAAACACAAACCTGATGCACATGAGGAGCAAACAGAAGAACCGATGAAGACTGAGGAGAAGATACAGAGAACTAATCAGACTGAGACAGACAGAGGAAGTAAAACCACCGGAGACACACAAGGATCTGTACAAAATAAAACAGGAAATAAATGGAACAAAACCCAAAACCGTGACGTAATCTGAGGAAGTTTGAGTCACACGTGGAGGTTAAATCAGAATCCATTCATTTCTAATTAGAAGACTATGTGGTCTAATTTGGGCTTCTTTTGAATCACAGTGCTCACTGATACTCATTTTTGGGTGAGAACAAAAATGAAATATCGACATCAGTGATATCGGTTATCGGCGATATCAGAAATCTTGATATCGGTATCGGCCAGAAATTTTAATATCGTGCATCACTAATTAAAATGCACTAACAATATTTATTTATATTGTCATGTTAACACGATTACAAGAGTTAAAAGATGAACTTACATTTAAATTAGGCACAACTACGGCCCTGAATCTTGTGCTACAGGAAACTTATGAATAAGTTAAAGATGTTTAGATGCAGAGCAGGAAGATTTAGACACATAAACATCCTCTGCTGAGCTCATTCTGGTGAACTGACAACATCTGTTTAAATTAAATGTCTGTTCAGAATCCATGAACGTTTTGGTTGGGATGGACACAATAATAAAAACCATTTAATAAAAAATGAAGTCCAGCTCTGAGCTTCAAAGCATGAAAGTGAGTTTACATTTCAGCTTCTCAACATGTTCCCAAACTAAAATGAGACACCTTCTGCACATTCAGCAGCACACTAAGTTGTTTTTTAACTTTTCCAAAGCAGATAAAACAGAAAAACAGTGTTGGACTCAGACAAAGCCCGGTCTGTGGCTCCTGCTGACCCTCCACCCTGGTCTGGAGCGTCAGGGACCAGAGTTCTGACAATCAGCAAACAGAACCAGGAATTTGTTTAATGGGAGTTGACTTGAACAAATATTGAGTTTTATCATTATCACCAGGACCTGTCAGGAGGTAAACCGGGTGAATAAGTGGTCATAAAGAGCGCTACAGACTCTTCTGGTAGTTATGTCGCCTATTGCTGATGATTAAACCCAACGGTCCCTGAAGGCATCATTTAACAAACTAAACGCGTCTAACTTCTCCTCCAGGCGTGAAAGCGCAGCTTCACAGCTTCTCCATCCACCAGAGTCCTACCTGCGTGGAGGAGGACAGGCATGCGGCGGGTCGTCCCGGTCCTGCTCCTCTCGGTCTTTAATAATCCCGGTTCGAGCGAGGCTTGCAGCCGGAGTGAGTTCAGGATGAAGTGTGGAGTTCTGCGCTCGGCTGGGAGTCCGTCCTCCTCCGCAGGCTGCTGGATGAATGAAGCCACACGGACGGAGCGACAACTCCACAAGTTTGGTGACACCTGCTGAGAGAAATGCTGCACTATTATCCTGCAAAATGCACAAAGGAAGCGCAAAAAGCCAAAGTTTTTCTAAAATGCACAAACGAGAATCCATATAATGATGTATTCTTCTGTACATATGTTAGATACGTTTCCAGAACTGCCCATATGTTTGTTTTGGGATATTAAACTCAGTCTTTAGATATGCAAACATTTTCTGCACATTGCATGTTTTTACATCGTAGATTTTGTACAATGCATTGCATATTTTACACATTGCATACTGAAAATCTATCTATCTATCTATCTATCTATCTATCTATCTATCTATCTATCTATCTATCCATCTATCTATCTATCTATCTATCTATCCATAATCTATCTATCTATCTATCTATCTATCTATCTATCTATCTATCTATCTATCTATC